CCTTTGGTGTCCATCTCCATTCTATGGAAATCCAGTTTTTCCACGTGATTTTTCCGTCCCGATTGACTTCACAAATTATCTGGTGGGGATCTATCTAGATTCTAGATAGCCTCAAAGCCTATTGATGGCTTCCTGACATTTTTGCAAGTCCTCGAGTTTTTCTAGCTCGTCCTGCAGTGCACTCCCAGCTTCAAACCATCAGTACCTTTCCCACATATCAGCGGTGGGGAAAAATAGAGTAGAAGTGTTTCTAGTCGGATGAATTTGGGCGCTCCCGTTCTGGCCCATTCGTTCATGATTGTCACGGCTTGTATACTGCCGCAACTTTCCAAGGTACTGGTGATTTAAGGATGTTCATCCACGCTGCGTCAATGATTCAGCTTTTGCCTGTGGCAGCCGAAAGTGAGACCGCTGCCTTTCATGAGAGCACCTCATCCTCCCGAGAGTTGCATTAGAAGGGCAAGCCTCATGGATTTAAAGTTTAAACTTTAAAGCTGATGCTCAGTTAGGAAAGGCGGTCACACTGGGATGGGAAGTCTGCTTTTTGACTTAGAAGGATAAGCTTAATGTTCCATGTGAAGGGAAAACCCATGAGCTCCTGCCAGACGGCGTCCCTTCATCACCACAACTGCAGCCCCATCAGGCATTCCAAGAGGCAGTGTTGTAGGGAGGCGATGCGCAGCTGTGAAGACTAGCCACAATAGGTCGATATTGGGGCTAATGCTCCTTTTTGCTCTAGCTTTGAGCACGACATGAGCCAGTCCAATGTCGGGAGACAGTCGTGAAGGATCTGTCAGTGAAGGGATGGGTAGGCCGTGGGCATTATGTGTGCATAAGCGGACCAAGACGGGTCCTTTTGTTGGTATTGGAGGGTTCCGATCTCATCTTTGTACGATGGCGGGGTTCTATGGTGACATTTCGCAGGTCCTCCTGTAGCCTTCCTTCACCATGTACTGCCACATGGGCAACGAGTTGGTTCCCGGCCATTCCCATTCATCGGGGTCAAATGGGAGGGCAGAGATTGGTGCGGCTGTTAGGCATAAAGGGCATCCGCATCAGAGCCCACTAGCCTTATCCTAATGACTACCTCTGCGGGGAGCTGGCAGTCCAGGGTCTCATTTCTTGTCAGTCGCGGCCATCTGGCCCCTCATGAGGTCCGGATTGAAAGCTTGTAGCAAGACGCCTTTGTTTCTGAGCTGCCGGACTTCAAAGGTTGTCATAGGTATAGGCCTGTCTGTGGACATTATGACCCAGTCTCTGGCTTGTAGGGTGGGTCCCTTGGGCGGCTGTCCATGCAAGCGGTATGGTTTTGGTAAACAACTTAACAAGTCTAACTTTCTCTTCTAGATTCTTGATGTTCTTAAGTTGTGATCTGAGTTATTGAGGAGATTTCCATCTTTGCTGTTGTATGTACCATAGATCTCCCACAAAGAACACACCTCTCTTTACCCAGGATAGCCAGTGGGAGTCTTTAGTTAATGCGGACAGGACGCCTGCCTCTGTCAGGATTTAAGGATTACCAATGAGGGGTTGCCTCCATGTCTCCTGCCACCTTGACAGAGTGGGACGCTTTTTCGGGCCCATGTCCCTCCATGGAGCTAGCAGGCGTATCCAGAGCAGGCCATGTCTGAGGTCCCTGCGTGTGCAACTGCTTGACAGATACGAGTCCTGAGATGGTCCAAAAGGCGTTTGTCAGCTAGGCCATCGGATGAACTACGTGATCAGGCGGCAACGGGGGTGCCAGATTGGCTATTTGAATGTAAACCAACGATAGCCAGGGGAGATCCCTTGGCTTAAGCAGACGTGTGATGATCTTGAAAGTCAAATCTTTAAGCTCGCCTCCCAGGTCTATGGACGCCTACAAACAGTCGTGACGACTCTCATATAAGGTTTGCAAACTTTGCAAGACACAACACACATCATCAACACAAAAAAGAAACAGACTCAACATTGAGTCAACAGAGAAAAAATAACAAAGAAAAATAAACGAACAAAGGTAGTGACAGACGGTTAAGGGAGAAAGACTTGAGGTAGCACCGGAGCAATCCTAGTTACTACAGTTTTTTCAGGCTGTCCACAGCAGTGGATTGAGAGGGATTACACTGGTGGTCTTTTCAGCATGTTTCATTTTGGGGTTAGAGCTGTCAGGGGTGGGTTAGAGATATCAGGGGAGGGGATTTGTCTTCACGTATGGGCTCACCGAAAGTCAATCCTTCCACAGGAATCAATGCTGTCGAGACTCCCTGGGCCATAACATGGGGAGGCGTCAGGGGTGGGTTTCCGTGTACTCTCTGACTTGTAGGTGGAATAGGAACCGGACTGATGCTCCCCAGAATGGATATGGAGCGGGGCCATGGACCTGTTTTTTTCGAAAGAGAAAAAAGACGGCCTGTTTCACCCGACGCTCGCCGACTGACAGGGGGCTGGACTCTCAACAGAGTCTCTGCAAAATCGCCATATTGATGCTTTGACTCATGGTCTACTTCAATCCCTGTTGGAAGTGGACAGCCAGGCTGGTGGCAACACAAGCAGAAAGGCAAAGGAGGCAGCAGTAAAGCAGAGGATGGGCAAGCGGCCAGGAGGACGTGGAGGGGATGGAGGCAAACAACAAAGCAACAAGCCAAATACCAGGCAGGCACATGATCCAGCAAGCACGTGGGTGCGCAGCCAGACAGGCAGCAAGGCAACCAAGCAAGAAAGCAGAGGGCAGACAGGCAAGCGAGTGGGCAAGAACACAAAACCAGCAGCCCTGTAACACGAGGCAAGCTGATGGGCAGCCAGGCAGTGGGGCAGCACCAACAACGCAGTCCACACTTACAGCACAGACCAAAGCAAATCGTCATCTACTCACACCACAAGTAAAACCCTGCAGACTGTAGGTTGATGCCACCATTAATAGGAAGGGAGAACAGACATAGGCATCCGGACACAGCAGCCTCCCTAATAGCATTGCAGGCAGTTCTATTTGGCACATCTTGAAGGTGCTGCACCTAGGCACTCGGAAAACGCGGAAAAGTCCAGAGCACGTCCACAATTAAAGCATCAGATTCTAATCACTCTACAGAAAGTGTACGAACAGGACAGAAATGGTTCCCTTGACTGTATCGTCGCTGGAGGCCGGGCGCTCCACAGGATCCCCGTAGTGATGCCTTGAGTCATAGTCTACTTTGCCCGATGGACTGCCAGGCAGGTGGGCATGGGGACAGGAATGCAAACAACAAATCAGAGCAAAACACGCAGTCCAGCACACAGGCAGGCGGGCAACAAGGCAGACAGCAAGGCAACCAAGCAAGCATCCACAAGGCACGCAAGTTGGCAGATGGGGAAAAGGGCAAGCGAAGCAAGCGGGCAGGCAAGCAGCAAGGCCAGGCAGCAGAGCAGTAAGGCACTGCACAGCAAGCACACAGGCTGCCAGGCAGCAGGGCAGCACTGACAGGACAGGCCAAACATACAGCAGAGACCAAAGCAGACTATCACTGAGCATACAAGTAAAACTCTACAGACTATAGGTGTACACCACCATCGAGAGTTAGGGAGTTTCTTTGATAAATGTCTGTCACCACCAGGAAACACAGGCGCACAGGCATCCTGGACACAGTAGGTCCCCTAATAGTGCTAATAGTGTTGAGGCACTGACTATTGGGCAGACTCCAAGCTTCTGTACTTGGGCACTGAGAAGAGCATAAAATAGGCCACACTACACACAAAGCGGACAACATAAAGAAAAATAAGTTACAGATAGTGTAAGTGATTGCGTGTGTGTGTGCATGTGTGCTTGAGACAGACAGACAGACAGACAGACAGACAGACAGACAGACAGACAGACAGACAGACAGACAGACAGACAGACAGAGA